ACCATTTTCGGCTTCACTCGTTTGCCGGATCGAATATCGGCGCCGAATTTGAGCGTCAGCGGAATTTCGGCTTTCGCCAGCACCGACCGAATTTAGGCGCCGAATTTAAGCTTCAGAATTTAAGCTTCAGGGGGGGGGACGAAACCGGGACCCACTTCCCCGGGTCCCTGGATAGTGAGACTTCATGATCCCGCGTGCAAGTTCATGCTCCGCCCTGCGCCGTGTTTCATTTGTTGGTTTAGCGATGCCAGAAGGGCCTGGGCCCCTTGCAGATGCATTTTCTGTGCTGGGCTCGGCACCGGCTGGTTTGGAGGCCTGCTTGTTGCTGGTTTCACGCTTATGCCTGCAATGACATCTTGGCTTGAATGCCCGTCTTTTGGCTGCCTTGCTTTGTTGATGGCTGCTGATGTGCTTCTTGGGACCCTGCTACCCGCGAGATCGTCTCTTCACTAGCGGCCGAGAGCCTCGGAGCCGGTCCGAGCTCCGTTTGGGGCCAAGGGCCTAGCTAAGCGGTGGGGATGGGCCGGCAGACAGCGCGCGCGTGGGAGACAAGCCCAAACTGTGAGAAGAATCCTGCCTTACACCCTCAAAACCGACCAGGGAGGGGGATAAAGTTACCATTACATGGTTCCCTAGCACCCATGCTTTGATCTAAACGCGCCGGCCTCCGACTCTGGCCGCAGTTGAAGTAATGACTGTGTTCACAGCGGTGTTTCTAACTTGCTCCTTGTACTTTGTGCATCTCATGCTGCGTGTTGCGCTGGGGCTTGGAACTGAGCTGCCTCCTCTGGTCTACTGTTTCAAGATCCCTGCCATTCGTTTCTTTTCAACGTAGATTCAATGATGGACGACAGCAGCCGTCACGAATGCTTTCTGTGGCCGCTGCTTTGCAACATCGTGCGTTGCTCTCTCCAATCCGAGGGCTTGGTGTTGTGTGTCACTGCTTGCTCATCCAAAATCCGATTGCTACAACATGTTCATCTCTTCTGTGATACCGGCACAACAGCCGAGGCGAAAGCAATCATTCCGGATCCAGCTTCAGGACCTTCCGAGGAGGCTTGCGGTTAGGTAAAACTCCGACAGTACACTCCAGCTGTGCACAGGGAAATGCCCCATGCTGCTACTTGTATGGGCTGAGGGCAGTTTTTCGCAGAATAAACACATGTTGATGTGTGATGATGAGCGGGCCACTTGCGGCGACACAGGAAGACGAGGACAAGGCACCAGCCTCAGCTTTCAGCTCGGAGCAAAGCAAAGGCGGCATACAAGCTTCTGTTGCGAGAGAGGTGGCCAAATTCACCTCTAACGATGTTGCCACCGGATAGCAACTTCAGAATCGCTCACTTGGCTCGGCAAAGGAGCTGTAGTTCTCAGAGAGCAGCTTGCGCATGCCGTGATTGCCCATGGCGTTTGAAGCCCAAAGCTATCGACCCCCTGTTCGCCCAGTTTTCGGATAGCGGCGAAGTGGACCCGGGGCAGCTTGGCGGCGTGGGTCCTCTGTGGGTCTTCGCATGTTGCCAGTTACTGTCTGTAGCCGGGATCACGGAGAGAGGCGGAGGTTGATGTCCTCTGCGCGCTTAAGCGCCGACAGGCAGGAGTTGGATCATCCCTGGACTTCGCGACAGCCCTTGGTCCGCACTCAAGCAGCCTCGCTCTGAGCCTCGCCCCCTGGACCTCCTCTGGAGGCGGATGCTGAAGCGCTGCCGGCGTGTCTCGCTGGAAGAACTGCAGGACTTCCGTGACCGAGTCGCGCAGAGCAGACGCCAGAGCACTCCTGGCTCCCCTTCAGGACAACTACGATGCAGACCGAATGCAGCATCCACGGGTGGAGATCAGCACCTCGACAAGACATGGGAAAACTCTGTTTGCATCGACTGCGACTGCCAAGGCAGAGATCTGGCGAGCCCCGCGTTGTCAGAAGACGACCTTTTCCCCTCCGTCAGCACGGCACTGGTCGGTTTCGCCAGGTGCCTTGGCAGCCTTGGCAAGTCTTGGCCACTTCTGCAGACGCAGCCATGTCACGGTGCCTGGCCGCTAAGAGTAAAGGACCAGGCTCGTCTGGACTCCGGCCGCCAAGGTTCCTTTTGAACCTCGTGGGCATTCTTGCGCCTTTGCTTCAACTGCGTATTTGAGCTCGAAGCGTGACTTCCAACTTGCAATGACTATTCTCGGTGGGATACGTTGAGTCCATGTTGTGCATGAACTTTAGCAAGTCCAGCTCGCTGGACAAATGCGAATTAAGCTGTCCTGTGCCTCCGCGGCAGCGGTCCGTGGGGAACCTGCGATCCAAACTCCTCGACAGTCTCTAATAATTCTCTAATATGTTCACTGTCCCGCACCCGCATCTGTGTAGCGCGGATCCTGTGGGCAGGATTTTCAAGAAGGCTTGCCATGGCAAGTCCTATCTGGCTTCAGCATCCTTGTCCCGAGCTTCGTGTCAGCGGGGACCGTGGCCTTGAACATCATGGCTGGTGATGACTTTCGATTGAACACGAGCAGCTCGGGCTCATTTAGGGCACGCTGAGCCATGACATGACTTGGAATTTCAGGCTTCGATGATTCGGGTTACGGGTTTGATGGACATCTGGAGATAGATAGACGGTGGGACAGCTCAACGTGGGCCACCGCGCAGGTAGCCCATTCGTCCCATCCCTCGTTATCGCCGCAATGGCTTTTAAGCTGTGCTGCTGCATGCGACCGAATTGCTTTTATCAACCACTTGATTGCCACTATCCTTCCATGATTGCCAACATCTACCTTGTAAGTGATTGGTTGTTCGAGGTCACAGATAGAACTCGCAGGCCACGGCAAAGGCTGTAAGAGCAAAAGCGATCCGCGCGAACACAGCATAGACAGGGTCCTTCCAAGGTATCTTGTGCTACGTGGTGGGAGGGCTGTTGGCAACCCTCAGCTTACGACGTGCTGGGATCACCGCGCAACGTGTCGGCCTGGAGACATCGGGAGAAGTCATGATTCCTGATCGAAACGAGCTTTGAGTCGGTTTTTGTTCGAGGCTTCTGGGCCCTGTGGAGAGACGCTTCGACGAGTATGCGGAAGAGATGGGCAACTTGTTTTAATCACATCTCCTTGGTCATGAATCCTGAATTCGATTTTTTGCGGGGCGCTTATATAGCGAGCTTTTGAACTCCCTTGCAGCTCTCTCGGAGGCTTCCTGCAGGATTGGCGGAAGGTCTCTCTTCGGCGGTTTTGCGGCTTGGTCGTTATCTGTTGTTTTCCTGTTCTCGTAGACAACCACGGCATGTCATGCGTTTTGAAGTCCAGGCACATGTTGACACAAGGACTGCTCGACTGTTTGAAATTGAGGAGTGCTCGAACCTGAGGTGAGGTGACTGCAATGTACGTCTTCATGGTGTCCTGCCGGGTGCTGGCAAGCGTCATCACCAAAGATGTCGCTGTGTCGCATGTCGACGTACTCCGAATCCGAAGGGCCCTACAAAACCACGACAAACTACGGAATCCATGCGCTTTGTGAGGCCCGGTGTCGAAGTCGAAGGGCTCGATACCTTGAAAAGCCTCAACCGTCTCGGGCTCCTGCACACTAATTAGCAACATTAGCAACCCTCTCCAGAAGTTTCTGGTGAGGCCCTCAGGAAGGCGGCAATGCAGTGAATTGATGATAGGGAGGAGGCCCTCTCGCTTTCTGTTTGGGATTTTCCTTTGTTCCGATAGAGTTTTCTCACTGGTCCATTGACACCCAAGGTGACCTACGGTAGCGCGGTGGGCGGAGGGTTAGCAACTGCCTTTCCGGGCTTCACCTTTTCCCTCATCGCTCTGACACTCTCGCTGATCTGCTACTGCCGCTTGAGATCACATTATATGCGTCCTGGAGACAGAATTTGACCTTCTGTTGGAGTGTTCTGGAGCATCTGGAAAGAGCTTATTGCCAACCTGCCGAATTCAAGGCCAGCTTCACGTGTGCTGTGGGCTGGAGCTGGCCATAGACAGTTTCGGCCTTCGCATCTCTGCTGCATTCTGGGATGATCTCCGCATGGGCGTGGATGCAGAGGCATACTCAGACTTGCCCTTCCAGGGTTAGACTGTCGCAAACCTCGGGCAAGGAGCATGAACACTGCCTACTCAGCTGATTCGTGAGCCGTACTTCTTCTCGGACCAGGTTTGTTCCGGGACATGAACATGGAAAAGGCTTTGGAAGAGTGGAACTTGGTGCAGGCGGGGGCAAAGTTCGTGATCCCCACGCGATTGCAGACTTGTCTCGGGCCCCTGCCAGGCGACTCTGCGGCAGGTATCTGGTGCCCCGGCAAGACATGGCAAGACAAGCGTTGTAAGGACGATCCGCGCTTGTGGGACAATCAGGAAGAGAGTGAGACACGTGCAGCCTTCTCTTGATCTGCAACCGCGGTATATTGGCAAGTCTCCCGAATCCGTAGGACTTGAAGGAGCCGCATCAATCTTGGCCGCACTGCGATTGCAAGGCAAAATCAGCGGCTCCCTCTTCATTCTTGGAGCGACATGCTTTGCGACGCTGATGTTTGTTGGACGCAGTTAGTTAGATTCGAAAGGAGTGGAATGTCTCGAGCAATATGTGCTTTTGCTCACCTGCTCGGTTCTGCTTGAACGAAAGTCGCTTTGTCGCTCGTCTGTTCCTGGCCTTGCCATGACCGCTCCTTGCGAAGTGGGACTAGGCGTGCCGGCCAGATCACGGTGTTTGTTCTGAGGGTAAACCTCACTGCACTCTGTAAGTGCCGCATTCACAAGGTTCCTGGCGGAGCAGCTGCTGAACAACGCAGATCTGCTGCGGCTGCCAAGCTTATCATTGTTCGACATGCTGGCGATGTAGAATTCAGCTTGCATGAGCAACCATCATGTTCGATGAGGCATCGTTCACGTGTTGCTAGCCTTCCTGCTTAGATAGCTAGAACAACGACCAGGATATGAACAAAATACCAGAGTGGGAACTACGAGTCGGGATGCTCATGCACTCGTTTCGACGATTTTGGCAGTTGTGCTGTCCAAGGAACTTGTCAACGAATCTGGTCGACACCTGCTTGTGGTTGGGATGGCTTTACCCGCCCATACTGATCCATGACGCAGATTTAGGAATGGAGTCAGTTTGGACTTGTCATTTTCCTGGTTGCAGGTTTGTCATCCAATGATGCAGCTTGTGATAGGTGGATTTCCCGTAAGGCTGCCACTGCCTGCTGCGAGGCTAAGTTCTTTAGATTTCCTACCAGCCGCAGACCCGGAACCCTCACCGTCGAATCGAGGCTCTTCGTATACTCGATGTTTCGCGCTGCTGCTGTTAGCGAGAAGGCCAGCCGCGTGGCTCCTCTTGTGTCCTGGACGAACCTAGGAAACGAAACAGATCCCAACTCAAGGGTAAGGGTGACTAACGGTGACTAACGTATGCAGCCTAGCGGAGTTACCAATCGGAAACATGCAAGACGGCACAGCAACAGAAATACTTAATCACAAGACGGAAAATGTTCGTGCACGTCCTTTCAGTCAGAAAAGCTTGACGATGTTCGCGGAAATCTGTTGAGCAGCACAGTTCGTACTACCTGTGTGCCATACTTGCAGTTTGTTTAAAGCTCTTGCACCCCGCTTGTTGAAGTTGGTCTGAGACCCCTCTGCTGCATGAACAAGCCCTCGAGCAGCGTAGTCCGAATCGTTTTTTGCAAAGGGGGTCGTTTTTTGTGCGTGTTTTTTTGGCTGGCCTTCTGAACTTCGTGGCTTCTCAGCTTGCCGGCTGCTTGGCTTCTCGTTCTGGGCTTATTCTCGTCTTACCAAACCGTCTGTTTGGTTTCTACTCCGGGCTTCTTGGCTTCCTGGCTTCGTGTCTGCGTCTAGATTAGGACTAGTGTTACAGTGAAAACCCTGTACAGGAACCCCGTTCGGCGAGACTAGCCTGCCGTAAGGTTCTTAATTTCCATTACCTCTGATTTGGCCGGCTAGGCAGCTAGGGCAGGCTAAGGTTCTTAATCACGTTCTTACCAAGAGCACAACGCGTAATTGAGAACCTGACCCCGCAAACTAGGGTACCCTAAGGTTCTTAATTTTGAAGCAACCAGAATATTGTGAATCCCGCCGGAGGTAGGGGCTAAGGTTCTTGAACAGTGGGTTCTTTTACAGTGTTTTCACTGTACTACTAGTACCATTGTTGCACTAGTACTAGTATCACTGTCTTAATGATATTCCTGTTATTGCTGGTACTTTGGCTACTGCACTGCTACTGCTACTACTACTACTACTGCTGCTGCTGCTACTACTACTACTACTACTACTATCTACTTCTACTTCTTCTAAATGTACTTGTACTTCTACTTCCACTTCCACTTCCACTACTTCTACTACTACTTCTACTTCTTCTTCTACTGCTGCTGCTGCTACTTTTCCCGGGCGCAGAAGGCAAAACAAATTATGCGTAAACCAAACGCCCCTGTCTGTCAATAAACAAGGCCACAGCGATCTTGCATGCTGGCCCTAAGCTGTACGAGTCAAACGCGCCTGATTGGCGGACGCACGATATGCGACCAGTATTCGGAGCTGCGAAATATTTGCACGGCTCGGAACGTTGACCACGAAAGAGACTTACTTACCAGCTATCTTCTTCCAGGTCCGTACCCTACCCACCAAGATAAGACAAGGTCAATTCCTGGAAGTTTGATCCGGAAGATCTCGGAGATGCTCAGTGGATGGATGCGGACCGGCAATATGCCTCTCGGACGTGGGGCAGAGTGTCGGTGGCTTCATGTTCATTTCCAAGCTGTTGGTGCGCAGAGTTGCATCTCTCTTGCGATTTGCTCGGAGGCTACCAAGTTGTTGGTTTGCATCCGGGAAACAGACACGGTTGCGATTGAATGAAAAATTGACCGAGGTCGTTCAGTACATCATCCAGAGCGAAGCCGGCTTCTACATGAAAGGAGTTCGGCTGACAGCTGGATCTGTTCAAAAGATGAGCCACTGAGCTGCAAGCCTGGCAACACAGCACTGTATACTTGTCGCAGCATGCAAACGACATAGCCCCGTGCCATCTATGCAAGAAGTGTGACTGTTGCAGCATCTTGCGCAGCGACTTCCCTCAGGGTCTGTTGTCCAAGCTGAATTGCACACAAGTCGTTCTTTTTCTAGACTCTGTGCTTGACAGTTGAACCACGAAGCTGTGTAATGATACGTGTGCCCATGAAGCCACCCACTGCAAGCGTCTGCTGCACGTGCTTCTTTTTCGAGACCAAATAATTGAAAGGCTACGCCCGAGGGTTGTGCAGACGAGAGCAGCAAGTTTGGGCTTGAGGAATTTAAGAGCACCATGAACCCGGGTAGCATGGTTTCTCGCCCGTGTCGAATGCGCAGCAGGAATCCTGCGAAAACAAGAGTGTTGCTGAACAGGATTGAGAAACGGAGTTGTATCCACGGCTGCTACTGCGATAGCCTAGCCGTATCTAGCCATACAACACGGAGGGGTCCAGAGAGCGTGCTTGTTGAGTGCCACGTCAACTCACAGATGCGGTTCAGCTTGTCGTGTTGGCGTTGGTTGCTCGGGCGGTGGAAGAAGTGCGAGCTCTACTCAATTCAGGCTACTACATGGCCGCGTTCACGTTCAGTCTCTTTGCGAGATTTTTTGCTGACAGCTGACCGTGGGCTGTCGGCAGTTCACTGGGAACCTGTATGCGCGGTAGCAGAATTCTTTAAAGGAGGCCTTGACACAGTGGAGACAGCAACAGGCCGTGACATCCGTAACTTGCTCATGATCAATAATACTGATCAAAAAAACCATGCAGGGTTGGCCCGGGTGAAAGTCCAAACCAACCAACACATCCCCTCCCTAAGTGGTAGAAGCAGTTACAAAGTAGCAGCAGCAGCAGCAGCAGCAGCAGTAGCAGCAGTAGCAATAAGAGGGCAGGCGCGGGGCAAAGGGGCAGGGGTTCCTCGGAACTGGGAGCTTCTTCCTCAGCCCCTTCACCTTCCCCCCCTCCTTCCTCCTCTTCCTCAGCTTCAGCGTCGATGCCGTTGTAGAGAAACTCTATCGTTTCTCTCCAGAGCTTTTGCAGTCGGCCGCAGCCAGTACATGTAGTACATACAGGCCACGTCACGACTTGATCAGGGCGGAGTTCCGCGCCTACCAGGCCACGCCACAGCCCCAATTGTGAAGCAACTTCCAAAAAACACCCTCAAGCTGGATTTTCCAACCGCATGGGCCGCGGTACGGGGTGCAGCGCGGGAGCACAATCGTTTAGAGTCTTCGGCGTCCAACCCGGGGTGCGACGTGGGGCGGGATCGGAAGGGTTCCATGCAGCGGGCGGGCCGCGATACGGGGTGTGGCTCGGCATGTGTGCGGAGTGTGCTGACGGGGTTCCACTGGGTGGGGGTTGTGGGTGGGTGGGTGGGTTCCACGCTGCCATGAGGGCCGTGATACCACGCCGCCCAAGGCGCGGTTCCGCTGCGCGGCTCGCATGCTGGAAGAGGGGTGCGCCAGGGGGGTTCGGGGCTTCACCGCGCGTGTCGCGACGGGTCGCGACGGGTGCGGCTGGATGCGCTTGTTTTGTGGATGGTTTTCGGGTTCCTGGTTGACCTTGTCTCGTGCCAACGGTCGGCTCCCTGACCCTGTCAGGGACGGCTTCCCTGGGCAAATGTTGTGCACAACCAGTGCTCCAGTCTCGTGACTATCAGCCGTGCTCAATTGAGCCAAATTTACGAATAAGGAAAACATGAAGCATGCACAAACAAGTACAACCTCACGGCCCTGGCCCATGTACAGAACAACCAACACCACTGCTCTCAACGCATCTGCAACTGCGAAGTACGCATGATTCAACACCAGGACGTAAGCTTCCCCTTGCCCTTCGATAGACAGCCCGAACAGTGGTGGCGCAGCAGAAGATTAGAACACATATACGAGAATAGGCCTGAGTGGCGAGAGCATAGACAGACATTCCGATCGTCGATGTCCAAGAGAGCCTTCCTACTGGCGTCTGGCTCGTTGGACTCATTGCTCTCCGGCAAAGCCGTAAGGGCAATGAGAATCCAAAATGTGTCCCCCAGAGGGCCGAAGGCCAGGGGCCAGGAGGCTTGGCTGAAGAGGATTTTCCATGCTTTCGGACCTCTCTCGGCCAGCGTGCCGCTGCTTTGGTCCGCCGATGTCCGCCGCTAGGAATTTCCAAGTCACATGCTGGAGAAGTGAACAAAGCAGTTGTGCCGGCACAATCTGGTCAATGAGCTTGCAGTATGTTCAACAGAGCGTTGGTGAGCAAGCCACATTGCTGCATCAAGCTGATGCTGGGCCGAATTGGATCCACAACATAGGCGATTGTGTACCTTGAGAAGCACACAAGGAATGTTTTCAACGGATCGCCTGCCACGGTATGAACCTCCAGTGATCAGCTGCCCGTAACTGCCTTACAGAGCGTGCAAGAATTCTCCTCTGCACCAGGCCGCTGTTGCGACGTCCATGTGTGCTCGTGGGTTGCCTTCGGTGCTGATCGACTGTGGGTGCTGTTTCCCTTCGATCCTGTCACTCGTTTACACGCGACACGAACCGTGCTAGATTCTTAATTACTAGCTCATAGCAGTCTGGCTTTGTGCGGCAGAGCCGCAGCCCTGTCCTGCGTCAACTATCCATCAGCACCAGTCCAGGCAACTAGCAAGCAGTCCAAAATCATTTTAAAGCCCGAAGCTGCGAAACTCCTGCAGGTCGGGGGACACATGACTCAGACACTAGTACGGCACCCCTCGAATCCCCTCGACTGCAAGTCTGCAGACTTCGAGACGAGAGAGAGCATCGGCAGGGTTGCTGGATTTGAAAGACAATGCCGCATGGCGAGTCATTATGCATCTGTGGTGGTCAAGTTGTCAAGCCGTGGGGTTAGAGGCCGGCGTGGGTGTGTTGAAATTGACTGCACTCACCCGTTCTGGTGTAAACCCTCATGCGCCCACTAAGCTTTCGCTACAGCATGCCGCACATGCTAGGGACTGCTCCGGCCGCCAGGCTTTCGCCAGGTTTGCGCAGTTCTGAAGGTAGGAAGGCTAATAAACGCTTGAAGATCTTGAACTTGCTAGCTGCTGCATGCTGTCGGTAGATGTCAGAAGGATGGCAGCCAGATGCGAAGGACATCGAAGCCTTGGCCACCCCGGGCTCCCAGGCCTGGAGCAGTGAGGCGGTTAGGCCAAGGCTCGTCAGGAGTCCTCCCCCTTCGGCCGCCGCTCTGCAAGTGGCAGCAGACTCAGGTTCGCTCCCTTTCGACGCGCCTGCACAACGCCCGTGGCGATGGCGACGGGCTGGAGCGATAGAAAAGAATTTGCGAGAAAAGACTCGTCGCACTGCCATTTGTTGATTCTTCAAGCCTCAGGCCCACCATGTATGTATGTATGTATGTAT